ATATTCCGAGGTTAAATATCAAAAATGGATATATTCACTGCAATTTTGTGCCAAATTTGAAAATCCAGGTAACAGGTACTTTTATGAATTGACCCATCGATTTTTACATAGATTCACGTGCTCCACTTTGCTCTTTCAAATGGTGAAAACCGCAGATCGCTTTGGCTTTTCATTGAAAAATTATAAGCTTTTTTTTCACCGGTCTTCTTTTAAAATTCCGATAGTAGAATAGAAAACCTTTTAATTATGTCAAATATAGTGTGCAAGATCAGCTTGAATGAGTTTAATTCTTGTTTCATATATCTTTACATGATTTTGTTTGAAACATTGCTTCAAACATTCAGTTACTAAATTATTCAAAATTCTCAACTCAACTAATCAAAGAGAAAAATCAAAGGGTGCGTAATGTTCTGCCTTCTTAGCCATTCCTCCAGCTGTAATTCGACGCTGTTGTTTTTCTCATTAAATTTGTAATTCTATATCAGTCATTGACAACATCAAGAAAATAATGTCTAATTAATGCAGAGCAATTGAAATTGTACTCATTGTTGAAAGATTATCTAAATTTCTTTGTGTATATCACATAGGAATTTATTTGTTCAAATTAATTATCTTTAACTTGATTCTGAGGATAAATTTCAGCTTTACGTGTCAAGATATCTTCGCTTCGTTTTTTCAAGAAGAAATCTTATTACATTATAAGACTATTAATGACGGTTTTACGTGCAATTCTTGTGAATGATATCAAACGTTTCAATTAGTGCATCTTCATTGGTCAATCAACTTTTCTCTTTTGTAGAGTAATTTTTGAGTCGAGACATGTAGAAATACTAGCGTTCGATAGTTATACTGTCACGTTATAGAAGAATATAGGTTAACAATGCAATGTTAATTTAATGTCGCCGGTGTGAAATAGAATTTTAGTTCTAACTAAAGCATTTCATCATGAAGAATTTTTGTTTCGTTTTAACTCTTTGAAAACTGGTGGATCATATTTGTCCCACATATTTTTCAGTACAGAAAGTGTTTGCTCTACATTAAACTGTTACAATCTTTAAGGTAAATAGGTCGCCTTTCTTCCTTCTCATGCAGGTCTTTTCTCTCTTTCTTCCTGTCATAAAGATCCTTCTCCGATGTCCTCCTTTCTTTCTGCTACTATATACTGACACACAATTTCTCTCTCTCTTCTCTCGACGCATTATCATCAGGTTTTTATCTGATCATTTTAAGCCAAATACAACAGATTGATTGAAGAACCATTTTTCGATTGAAAAAAATTCCGTCGGCAAAGAATTAAAACACAATACAAAAAATGATTGCTCAGCTGGTACATATATCTTGTGTATTATTGTTTTTATTTTTGAAAGTTTTCAACCTCCACATGGTTGTTTACCTGTGCAACCATATCCAGCTTGTCCATCACATGCATAAACAACAAATGATGATACTGCGTATTGCCATTCGTATCCACCACCAGTTGCAATAATTGCGTATGAACAACAACCGTAATCACCGAACGTCATGTCAACTTGTTTGGGTTCTTGCCAATTTTCTCGATCGAATACAATCGTATTAAATTCAGCACATCGTGTACCATTGTAATACCATGATGGTTGTAATTTAAACTCAACTGTGACTTGATCACCTAGTGAATGAACTGGTGGTGTTTGTAATTTTAATGTAAAATGATCTTGACCAGTTGGAGTTACAACAAATCCGTGCATGGGTTCTACACTAAAACCTAAAAGCAGTCAAAATATAATGATATGAATGATGCTAGACAAGTAACTGAGAATTTTTGTTTACCAGCATTTGCATTTCCACAATTGGAAGGCCATTGTTCGGGTAAATCGAACAAATGTTCAGCTTCTGATGGAATACCATTTGTAAATGACAGATAAACTGTACTTGTATATCTATTTACATTCACGCAGTTATTTACTCTATCATTAAATTATTGCAGTATACACTTACTCATCACTATCATAACCACCTCGCGCAGCACGTGCTTGGATAGTTTTAATTGGTGTGTCTTGTACTTCAAAGTAACTTAAGCATGGAACTTCTCCAATACCAGATCGCTTTAAATTACAAATTTCTGGTGAATCATATCTCTAAAATCACGAAAGTCATTTTATTACATGCTATTTACATTCGGTTAACTGTGAATGCATTGGAACCTGCAAATATGTTGATTCGAAATATAATGTTCGATCTTAAACAGGAGAAATAATTCGTTTGATTTTCGTTTTGTGACGACTAGATCGAAACTTATTTTAACAAGGCTTAATTAATTAACCTATTTAGATTTGTTGTTTTACATTTAGAAACGAAAGGACGAAAAAACATAGTATATTAGGATATCAACTAAACAGAAGAATATATAAATGAATGATTCGCTAACGATGAACGTTTACTTGATGATCTATGGAATTTATATTGGACAAAATATTTTTAGAGAATTGTTAAACCCTTGGATGATTATCTGTTGCTCAAGAAATCATACTTAAACATGAATTGTTCCAAGTGGCAAGAAGAAAAAGAGCAATTCGTTCTCTCTACCGTTTTAAACGATTCATCTCAAGGGTAAACATATTTTGCCGTATCTTATGTTGGTCATCAACTGATGGTTCATTTGAATCAGTAGCAATTATTAATGATCTCTTTGTCAAATATCTTTTACCATAATAAGTCATCGTCTTTATGTTTTATGCTTGTTGTCTCTTGCATTAAAGATGGAAATTCTTACTTGTTTTTTTTTTTGTTGGTATTTTATATACTGTCCTAACGAGTACACATGTTATTAAATAGCTATCCGTTTCGAAGCATGAAGATCAGAGAGTGAAATATAGAAAATAAACAAATCAACTACACAAACGACTATTCTATACGAAACTTATTCATGTGTTGTTTTTGAAATGAAGTATCTTTCAACTCTTGAAAAAAAACTAAGTTCAAGAATTATAATAAGATTCCGAAAAGTTCCTATAAATAGGACACCTTTCTGTGGAAACATATCTTAAAATCACTCCTTTGTTTTCTTTTCAGTTTTCTTCGAGGTAGTGCATCTATCAGAAGAACTTCTGCTGTAACGAAGATCAAATTACCACAAATACTACAGACAAAATAAACGAAAGATAGATCGGTTCTAAAGAAAAAATAGTCTAGAACGAAAAAAATACATTTTGGGATTCGATGAATTAATTGCTTGGACTCAAAATAGAGTGTTTCTCTTACAAACTTATTCAATTCTAATCATAATAGAAATACATACTATTGCATTCTTTTGAACTTCTGGTACCCATTCTTCACCTTTGTTGATAAGGTTGGATGGTAACGGAAACCACGGTTGAATTTCAGAATGACTTTCTTGCTGATAGAACCATGAAAATGGAAATGGACCTACATCTCTCATTGGATCTGTCCTGTACCAACAATCATTCTTTTCAAAAAAAATGTCTCATATTAAAAGACAAAACACGAAAAACTATATTTGTTACTTTTGTCAATTCTGGATAATCGGGGTTGAAGTTGAACATCGTAAAACCCTGCGAAGCTGGCTAAAAAATATTTCATGATTAATCTTCATTTTATAGCAAGTTACTTTCTACTTACTGAATCTGGTTCAGCACCTTCAGGTCTGTATTTAACCATGTAAGTTTCCTTTTGTTTTGCTCGCCATCCTTCAATATCAAACCGAACTCGGGAATTTACATAATCATACAATAGTTCTTGAACATCTTGTGCTGGCCAAGAGTTTAATGCAGTTATATTCAATTTTGCTTGAAATTGTTTGGGAAATCCTGTTTGACATAAACATTCATTCGCAAGCACACTCAACAATAGCAAGAATATAATTTGTCTCATATTTCAGACTTTTTTTGTTATATTTTGTACTCAGTGATATCAGCACAAAAAAGCGTCTTTATATACTTTCTTTTAAGAATATGATAAGAAAAAAAAATAACAATGAATTAAAATTTTCCTTCTGTCATCATGATCAGAATCATTTTATTGTAGGTGACTTTGCAACATGATATATCACTTAAGCCAAGGTTTAATTCAAATATGCGTCATTTATTCTTTTTCTCAAACGTTATTAATTGTTTTTATTGCATATCATCGTGAATAGTTCATATTTTCCATTGAGTGAAAGGCATTTATGATAGATTCTGTAAAAATATTTGAATGAAGACGTTAGTAAAAACCATTTCTATCATCCATTGATCACACAAAGTAGAATATTCCGAAATAATTCTTTCAAATGTTACATATATGTGTAGAAATATCATCAATAGACTCTTATAGACAATAAACATAATCAACAGTGCAGAGTAAGGTTTAATAACTCGAGCTATTATAACTACAAGTGTTTTAATACAATTTTGAATGATTTAGACATACTATTTCAATGTACCACTTTATCAGGCATTCTGATATACGAATAGGCATTTAAGAGAGATTGTGAGAGCACCGTCCTAGGCTGCGGGGGAAAAAAAATCGATTTTATTATCTCAAATGAAAGGTCTAGTTAAACCATGGACAAATCCAAAATATTAGGTCATTTGGTTTTGTCTGTAAAAAACGCATCTAAAACAAGTTCAATCGGTCAATTTTGACTGTACAAAGTCACTAAAAAAGAGTGCGTCCAATATTTTCATATTATCTCACGAATAGCTTGACTTTTTAAGCTCAGAGACGTCTTATTCGATAGAGGACACTATAGACTACAATTTGTTTTTCTTTAGGTGACTAATATATAAGGTTATAAATAGCTGCAAGTTAAAAACTGAAAATGTCGAGAAATGTGCCCCTCTGGCAAGGTGGTATTTTGAGGTTTTCTTGAGCGGTGCAAGAGATGCTAAAGTTTTTATTTTACCAGACATAGGTCCTATCAAGGCATATCTTTTGACATTAAATTGTCCAACACAAAAACCTGAGGGGTCGAGTTAGCATGGACCACACTGTGGGCTACTCTACCTAGGAACTGCTAATCTGACATCGCAAAGCATACAAAAACTTCAAAAATGAGAAAAACTGAATTCAGATTCGTGTTCAGCACACGAAATTGGATAGTATAAGTTATTTTAATATGATCTTCTCTTTGGATATAGTGTGATCTATATCCTGGGTCGACCTTATGGAAATATGATAAATAGTGACATCGGTGTTTTGATAATAATTCAACAATGCAAGGAGTTATCGATTTCGGGTTTTTGTCATTTGATAGTCCTTTTCAATAGCTACAAAACTGTTTATTGTTTAAAGTCAAGAAACACTGTTCACTAGACACACACCTAGGTATATTGTTCTCAGGGCATGCTGTAGTACACATACTGTGTGCATTTGGACTTAAGTAAATGTACTTAAGTAAAAGTACAAAGTACAATTTTGAAGTAAACAGTATTTGTACTTACTGTACTGGTACTGATCCAATGTCTGATTCATTATTAATCAAAATAGAATAGTTTTTATTTTTTAAATTGTTATCAAAATATTTATTTCTTTTCACATTGATTATATGCGGTTTATTTAACCCTCTACCCATGATAGGGCCTAAAGGGACATTGTGCTGATTACAAGTAACTTATGAAGAATGAAAAGCAATTAAAGCAAAGCACAAACGTAAAGCA